CGATCTGTGAATGGCTCCATAGGGACCTCATACCAGCAATGGGAGGCAGAAAGGCAGAATTTAGGCATTTCTAGATCTCTAGTCTAATATGATCTGAATATAAGTGGAACCCCTTCTTTGTGCTTAAAGTTCTCAAGTTCTAAAAACCACCAGATATAGTTAAGATTAGACAGGTTTATTAGCTAACTTTAATGCAGTCAGACACATTATGACAGAGTAGGAAAAAATTGGAGAAAACTGATCTTTTAGCAATACTTATTCATGATTTCCTGATTTTAATGGCCCTATCATATTAATTCCCAACTTCTTTATCATCAGCGCAGAAAATAAAGGATAATCTTGTATGTCACAGAAGGAGAGTCAAGATCACTGCCAAAGCTATTTTCTTGTATTCTACAATAATCCTGGAATAATATATTCTGATTTCCCATGTATGCATGACACAGTTTCCCTCCATAGACTCACTTTTATTCATTTATTGAGGTTATAATGAGATTTCCATTCAAAGCTTGACATTATAATGTTATCACATTTGGAAACTGATGTCAACTTCGATTATTTTCTGATTTAGGGACAAATAAATGCTATGTCACCACTTCATATTTAGCGAGCACCCTCTCTCTTGGACAATTAACTCCAGCCCATCCAGAGGAGTTAGATAGAAGTCATGTGGGGTTACACGCACAGAGGACAGTGACGAGGGGCCCTGAATCAGGAGTATTTTTAATCAAAAGCACCCCATGAAGATTTGTTGATTATTTTCAAGGTAACATATCTATTATCATCAGAGAAGACACACTCACGACACATGTCTTGACCTCAGAGGACATATGTTCTGTTTGACACACCACAACAAAGAGACATGCATCCCCAACTAGAGGCAACTTCAGAGCTGGTATAATTTGAAAGGAGTATGTGCTTCAGGGTCTATGTCAGTGCCAAGTGCTAAAGGAGCTTAGAAAAAAAAAGTCTTTGGGAGGGTTCTTGTTTTTTATTTTGGGAAGCACAGGGAAAATTTTCTGAAATAAGTATAATATTAAATGGGTTTTTGAATGTACGACATCCTTTAGGTGAATAGAGAGAAGGATGAGGAAATAGAATGATAAACATATTCTCTTATAAGGTCAGAGCAAGGAAAAACCTATTCAACTAAATAAAGTACTCCCATCGTGCTGCAGACTGAATGTTTGTGACCCCTGTCCCAAATTCGTATGTTGAAATCCTAGCTTCCAATTTAATGGTATTTGAAGGTAAGGCCTTTGGGAGGTGATTAGAACATGAGAGGAGGCCTCACGAATAAGATTAATGACCTTATAAAAGGGACCGTAAAGAGCTACCCTGTTCCTTCTGTCATGTGAGGACACAGGAGAAAGCGACCATCTACAAGCCAAGAAAGCTGCCCTCATTAGGCATTAAATTTGCCAACAACTTGATCTCGGACTGTCAGCCTCCAGAAGTATGAGGAATACATTTCTATCGTATTTGCGGGTAAGGAGGCATGAGCCAAGGGAAGGAATGTCATTGTATTGGTGTACTGGTCAACCAAAACGTCTGGGTCAATCTACAATAGAACAAGTGCCTTTATTGGAACAGTTTCTTGAGGATCAGCACAGGTAGTAGCTAATGAAGAGATGTTGCCCAATAAAAACCAAAGACTTTATGACTACTTGGTTGGACCTCTGTAGGGCTTTGAGAAGCAAGAGAGTGGGCAGAGTCTATAAAGTCCAGAGATTTAAAAAAACAGCAAAAATGTGACAGGTCTGTGACAGGTCATAAAAATCAGTGGTTTTAATTCCAGGCAATTCAAAGAGAAGATTTCTTTTCTTTTTTTTTTTTTTTTAGTTTATTTATTTATTTAAGTAAAATCTACACTCAACGTGTGGCTCGAACTCATGAGCTAGAGAACAAAGAGTCGCATGCTCTTCCAACAGAGCCAGCCAGGTTCTCCTCAAAGAGAAGATTTCTATTTCCAATTTTGAATCAAATCTTTTCTCTTGTGCTGAAGAGAAGCCTTAATTTACCTGTCAATATCTATATGTTAAAATTGAATTTATTGATGGAAGGGCATATCATATGTTTTTGAACTATATATAAACAATCCAAGATGGTAACATGAACTATATGTTTTTTGTTTTCAAGAATATTTTTCTTTACACAGGGTAAATAATTTGGTTAGTCTTCACTATAGGTCAAATTGCAACATAAATGTCAACAATCCTAACCCCCAAATCCTAAATTCTGTCACTGGGGGATTAAATGTAAATAGTAGAGTATTTGGAAACATTTTCTTTACAGCGGTTAAACAAAAGAAATCTCTTTATAGAAATTCTCAAGCTCCTTAATAAAACAATTATTAACTTTTTTGTGGGCACACATGCTGAGCGAATGAAAACAGTTTCTATGCAGCCATGAAGTGACAAGTGAAAGCAGGACAGCTCTAAGTAACAATGTGACAACACAGTGGGCCAGAGAGGACATCAGTCCTGTCACAGGAGATCCTTAGAATTCCAGGGATGCTTACAGTGTTGATTGAAGTATGCCTGAGAAACAGACAACTGCTCCAAAACCTAATGGGAAACACGTAGCAACAAGGAGACTGGAGTCTCCCTCACCTCATTAATTAGAATTCGATGCTATTTAAAACTACTTTACCATCAACCGATGGTGAAATGTTGCAACCACCTCATGGGTTTGCCCTGACACTGTTCCTTTTCATAGTTCATGTCATTATTTATCCAAAATCTTTGATTTGAGTAAAGACAATTAGCAATTAGCAGTGGATGGAATTCATTTTTTGATATGTTTTGCTCATTTGTGTAATGATTCCTAGAATGACCACTTCTGTCCCCCAAAGTGCTACCCTACCCCCATGGACTGTCCACACAAAGGCATTCTAAGTGTGAAGGTACAAGGAAGATTATACAATTTTATGGAGACATGAAACCATCTTCCACACCTTAAAGACCAGAAACAGGACATATTTTTTCTCTGTCTCAAACGAAAAATTGTAGGTAACTGAGAAATGTATAGGAACCCAAGGAGTTCTTTCTTATCAGCTTTCTTTGCTTTGCCTCCTCTAGTAAAAAAACCCACGTGAGAAAAAAAAAAATGAGGATGCCAATCATGTAACTCACCAATATTTATAAAGCTCTTTGAGGCACTGACACCAATTTATATACTATTCACTGGAACCTCGACATAAAGTACAATGAGTTTAGTTGTCCCATCCTTAATATTTCCACTGCTGATCATGTTATAATACTGAAGACGGTAGGAATGCTGTTTTCTAAACTTTGTAGTTAACATATAAAGTGATCATAATGTTACCATGAGGACATAAATTGTTTAGAGACAGTGACTCAAATTAATATTCAGGCAGGTTTCCTTTAGAATAAGATAGAATTGTAGGAATTATAATAAAGTTATAAATTAAAATAATTATAAAACACTATAAAATAAAAAAATGATATAAATTAGAATAAACGACTTTTAAATTATAAATTAAAATAAAATGGGAAATATAAGTATTGACAAAGAAGTATTTTTTAAGGGGACATACTAAGAGTTTTTCTAGTGGAATGAGAAAGAAATACTTTTAACAAAGTCATATGACTTCATGGTTTAATAAATTGGATTCTCTTTTGTTTTTTTATAAGTCTTTGCAGTTTATAATTCTTTCTATTATTACAACATAACACTATTCTCTAGTATCATAATTTATTTGGAATAAAAACTAGTAAATAACTAATATTTAGAAGATCAGTAAGCGTGGAATCAATCTTGCATCAAACTACCAAGGATTAACACATAGATACTTTGCCAAACATCTAAAGCATAGGGCCATACATGTTAGGCGGGAGAAAGTTTACCTAATAATCCATAAAGAAGATAACTGTGTGCACAATATGACAAAAAGGATAAATGGAAAAGAGTTTCTAAAAATAGACAATGGATATTATAAATGACCCAGAAAAACCAAAAGATGTTTTATATCTGAAAATGCATAAAGAAAGTGCAAAGAAAATATATCATTGTATATTTAATATATCAATTACATATACTCTAATATATCAATATATTAACTAGATGTACAATTTTCTATAGGACTTTTCTCAATCTACAAAATAAAAAAAAAAATCAAATGTGACTTGTGTGTATTTCTGTTGACATTAGCGACAATACCATTTCATTTATCTAACCAATACAACCTCTTCTGCCCACTGTCAATTTTTTACCTAACTTTATATATGCAGCAAACAGTCCCTAGTTAGTATAGAATTTTAAAGCCGAGGGTAAAGACTTATTTGCCTTATTTAAGTATGTTCATCAGTTTACCTAAGAAATTCCACTTTCTTGAAGGGGATGTTCCTGTTTCCTTTGACAAATTAAAAAAAAAAAAATGCATAAACTTGTAGAGGTACAATGCTTTCCTTGCTGATAAATTTTTAAAAAATGTAACTTAAAATCATTCCAGAAAATATTTTTTTCTTTCTTTATGGTAAAAATCATAGGTCAGAAGAGAAAACTAATGGAGAACAGAATGCATTATGATGGTGCAAACCAAAAATTCTCTCCAGAGTTCAACGTTCTTTCATGTTTTTACTCCGCCCACCTCCCAGACTTTTTAGTGAATGTATTCTCTGACAATATAAAAGTTCCTTTTGTTGTTCTCTGAGTCGTACTTATGCATTTCTCTTCGTGCATTTTCTCTCAAATCTACAGTTGCTTAAAAACAATGGCGTATTGTCACTTTCCTTCAATTACCTTGACAGCATTGTTTTGCAGATCTTCAACAATTGATGTCTATAAATGAAGTCAATGATTGCCTTTAATAACAAGTTTTTAAGTATTAAAGAGTGCACAAATCTGCAGTCTACTTTTTCTTTATTGTAACTAAAATTTTCCGGTAATTAAGTTCACATAATTAATTCCAATTAAGTTTCAGACTCTAAGTCAAACAGTGCTACCTAAATCTATAATATAAAGAACCAATACTTTACCTCACTTTCAAATTCCCTTGTTGGAGCTGGCCGTCGTAAACTGATAAAATATCAAAATCTTCTTCAAGAGCAAAGGTATGAAATGACAATTGTATCCGATTACGTTCTCCTGTGATAATGATCCACGTGCAGTTAGCGTAGTTTGGATAACCGTGTGGAAACCCTGGGCTCTCGATGGTGCCATTGGGACCCTGGACTAAGCCTCCACAGTTCTGACCTGGAAAAGAAAACACAGACACACACACACACACAAAGAGCATATTAGTATATTACTGTGGCCTATCTTTCCTCTGGGATTTAAAAAAAAATTTTCCAACCATTTTGACCAGTTTTTATAATGGCTAATTTTGCGGCTTATTTCATGCACAACTATTGAATGATAAATTGTAGCAGTGTTGTCCAGTGTTAACAGTGGGCGGGGGTGGGGGGAAGGCAAAGAAGGAAAATATACAAATTTGGGAACTCATTAGAAATTTGGGGAAAAAATTTTCTCTGTAATTTTAAATACATCTTCATCGGTATCAACCTACCATATTTGTGAAACAAATTTGGTGCCGATTATCTGGGTAGTATTATGCTGAATGCTGAACACCCTGCCTATATGTCCCTTGCTCAGAGAAACTAAATTGACAGGTCAAATAACCACTATAAAACTACACTCATCCACACATATTGGCATATTGCAATGACTGCAGTGTGAAGCAATATGAATAATTAGGGAAAACCACGTTTAGTGTTCAAACTATTGGTTCTCACCTAATATGGCAAAGTCCCACAAGGTCAAAGAAAAACACAAAGCCACAGAAATCTTATCCAGTCCAAAATAAAAGGCGTACAGCCAAAGAAATTAAGTTAGCAAAGATTAAGGAGCCGCCCAAGGGAATCAGGGACCTCCCCTCCATCAAAGGTTTCCTATTCCCATGGCCGGGGATGGGTATTCAGCAGATGGGGGTAAGAGGACAAGTGCATCTTGCGGTGATGGATGCCATTGAAGAAAATGGCTTCCCTGGGCACATCTGCAGGATATCCCACACTTTATTCCCCTTTCTTATTCTAATTTCCCTTAGATAGCTTGAATTGAATTAGGATTGCTCTCAGTATTCAAGTTTGACATTTGTGATGTTGTGATTTATAATAAGACATAAAGTAAGAAATAAATATATAGTTGGTCTTAGTCCCTTTGGCACAGAGCTCCTACAAACCTTGGAATGTCCTATGAGATGAAAGAAAAAAATATATATATGCCTTGTGTCACGTTAATGAGAGGATTTTTGGAAAGCACCTAAGGATGGGGGCTGTTTCCAGGGGAAACCACCATGTGATCAGAAGGCCGGAACTTCCAGTCCCACGTCCACCCATGGCCTCCCGGAGGGAGACAGGGGCTGGAGGTTCAATCAATTGCCAAGGGCCAACGACACCTATTAATCAATCACACCTACATGATACAGTCTCCATAGAAACACAAAAAGAAGGAGTTCAGAGGCCTTCCAGGTTTGTGAGCATGTGGAGACCCTGGAAGATCCTGTGCTGTGCATCTCTGTATCTGGCTGTCGATTGGCATCGTCTAATTTCTTTGGCACTAAACCAGCAACCTAGTGAGTAAACGGGTTTGCTGAGTTCTGCGAGCCCCGCTAGCAAATTAACGGAACCCAAGGGAGAGGTCGTGGGAACCTCTCATTTCCAACCGGAAAGTCAGAGATACAGATCACACCATGGACTTCCAGTGTGTGTCTGGAGCGGAAGGCGGTGCCGTGGAAACTTGCCCTGCGAAATGTGATGCTGTCTGCAGGTGAACGGCGGCAGGATGGAGGTGCCCTGCGCGACGCCCCAGCGCGGCCTGCTTGTTGCTGTGGGGGCACCCCCTCCCCGACTACTGGTGGAATCGGTGCAGAACTGGTACAGAAGCCAAACCGCATGAGAGGGAGGAAAGACAGGAAGAGCAGAGCGCACCACAAAGCTGCCTTTGGCCACTGAGCGGGTTAAAACTGTGCCTGAGAGCTGCTTCCGGGCGGCCTTGGCTGCCCAAAGTCTTATGGTATTGATTTTAACATTGGGATTCTCTGGCAGTTCTCAGATATCAAGAGCGCTTCCAAGGAACAGGCCCTTCTTTTGCTGTAAATTGTAGCCCCCGGATTCAGTGTACAAGATCTGCTGGGACTTAGCAACAGCCACCTGCTTGCCCACCACTGTTTTCTTGCCACCAGATAAACCCTCCCACCCTTCCCTTCCTGACCTCCCCTCCTGCCAGGCATCATCCTTCATCCACCTGCTTTTCTCCATGGTTCCCCACCTGTGTTTCCCTGTTTCTCCCACCCCCTCCTCTCCCCTCGTTACCATGTCTAGTGTAGGGTACGGACCTTCTGTGGCTTCTCTGTGCTACCCCCCGTCCCTGCTACGATTTACACGTTCCCTGTTCTGTGACTTCTCATTTTGTGCCTGCCCAGGCTCTGTGTAGTCAACCAGCCAGAAGGGAAAAGGTCAGGACAGACAGGCTATCTTCCCTAATGAACACACTTTGATTACTTTCATTGCGAACATCACCGCCATATGCGAGAACAAAACAACTCCTCTATCAAATCCTTCCCACCTTTTCTTTGTCTGGGGCTAGCTAGCAAGTGGCCCCTGGACACTGCCTGCAGGGTTTCATTCCTTCTCCATCTGGACGTTTCCCACCAATACTCTCGAATGGATTTAAATGCTTTGACCCTAACAATGTAAGAAAGTTTGAGAGGGATCGGGGCATAGGCAGATTATTACACGTAGTATAAGTATCTGAATACAAGCATTATCCCCGCTTTTATTGTTGAACTGCAAACAGAAAATTATTTGCAACTATGTTTTACATGTTAAAAAAATACTACACAATAGTAGCTCTCAGAGAGTCAAGTCTTTCACAGGAATATTATCAAATGCTGGTGGGAGTTTGCTAAATCTTAATAAAAAAGATTTAATGAAAGGGATTTATGAGTTTAAAACCAAAGAACTAATAAGAAGCCCATTTTCCACTAAATTTAAATCTAACAATAACACTGTAACAAGTAGATATTAAAGCTGTGGGGGTTTTGAAGGTCTTTAAGGAAAATAGCTTTTCTGGTTTATCTAGCAATTCCTGCTTCACAGTAAATCAAAAAGTGAAAACTTGATTATAAATTGGAAGAAGGAAAAATAAATTCAAGGGAAAAAGTGTCAGCTGGAAAGTAGCTACTATTATAGACCCATCATGCTGAACCCGATTATCAGATATTAAGACTTTTCTCCAAGAAGTAACACTTAGGTTGCAATGGGTACCAATTAGTACAGTAGATTTTGAAGAATGAGTCGCATTTGATCAGTAGACAGAATTTTCCACAGGCCCTGGGAGGAACTTTGGGAAGTGCTCAAAAGTTAGATGAGCAACCCTCCAGCCGGGATGCACATTCCAAACAACTTAGGGGCTTTCCACGTATCTGTCCCTCAGATAGATTCTGATGCAGTTGGTCTGGACCAAGAATATCCAGGACAACTTTGAAGAACAGAATCAGAGATCCTATGCTTCTGAAGGTCATATCTTATTATAAAGCTATAGTAATTCAAGTGTCTAACTGGTACAAACCTAGATAAATAGACAACAGGACAGAGTAGAAAGCCCCAAAACAAAGTCACAGAGATATAAATGCTAGATTTATAACAAATGTGGTTCTTCAGTGCACTAGAAATAGGATGGTATTTTCTTTTTTTTTTAAGTTTATTTATTTTGAGAGACATAGAGAGTGTGAGCAGGGCGGGGGCACAGAGAGAGGGTCCCAAGAAGGCTCTGCACTGCCAGCATGGAGCCCACTGCAATTCTCGAACTACGGACCACGAGATCATGACCTGAGCCGAAATCAAGAGTGCGATGCTTCACCGAGAGAGCCACCCAGGCGCCCCGGATGGTTTTTTAATAGAATGTTCTGGGCCAACTGGATATCCAAATGGGAAAAATAAATCTTGATCCCTACCTTACTATGTATACAAACATCAGTTCCTTATGAATTGAGGACAAAAATGGAAGGTGTAAAACAATAACACTTCCAAAAGAAAACAGCATAAAAAATCTGATCTGTGTGGCAAGCAAAGATCTCTTAAATGGAACCCCAAAAATGATACTCAGGAAAGGAGAGAGTGAAAAAGAAATACAAACACTAGGATGTTTGCATTCAACAAATGGCATGTTCATAATGTAATGAAGAAACCTCATGAATCCATAAGAAGAAGGTAGTAGAATAGGAAAACAATGATTATAGGCAGATGGAGATTCAGAATCAGAGCCAGGTTTTTCTAAAATTGGAGAGAGACAAATGGATCATAATATGGAAGTCCTTCTGCAGCCCTGACCTCTCTCATCTGGGTGGAGGTCTATCCAAAAGGTGTAAGAAAATAGCATTTTGTGCTACAAAAAAAAAAAAAAAAATCCTGGTTTTATTGGTCTGTCTTTGTAGGAACAACAACCCCTTACCCCCCGCTTTGGTCCCACTAGGGAATTGTGAACTTCCCAACAATTTACTCAATGTCTCCTGTCCCACTCAAGCATCCGGACTCTCATTTAAAAACAAAAACACACAAGGCATGTGAAAATAATTATTTGTCTACACATCAGTACTACAATGGTATTGACTACAACTCCTGAGAGAAATTCAAAATCTATACTAATGTTGAACTGAAGGACATCCCCTTAAAAACAATTACTGTGAGCTGTGGATCTCTGCATCATTATGATCTATTTGGGGTTCATGCTGCCTAACACACAAAAAATAACGGCTGACACCAGCTGTGAATAGAGCAAAATTATTCCCCAAAAGGTTAACCCCAGGATGTGAAGTGATTATAATTCAGGAATGCAAATAACTTACAGATGACATTCACCATTGGCACCAGAACTTAATTCAGGTATCTTGGTAAGGTATGTCTGAAATAAAGATTGCTTCAATAGCAAAATGTTCTTTTAGTTGAATAAAGTAAAGCCACAGATGAATGTATGTGGATGATACATGACATCTATGTACATTTCTGGGTTCACACGCACTTACACAGAGAGTGTGGGACTTCCTGTAGCCCCACCACCAGCAAATGCCAAGGTGGAGGCTCTTCCTCAAACGTCCCAGCAAATACTTTTGCCTATCTCCCTCATACGACTGTCCCCTCTTGGTTATCCTACTCTAACAGGCGCCTGTCTGCTACAGAGAACCCTCAAATATTTTACAAGTGTTTTCTTTTTAAATGGCTTAAATCTATGTTTCTTGAT